GATTTCTCTACACGGAGATGTAAAATAAGGGGTCTGTAATACAAGCTTAAAGTGGGCAGATAGATGAGAGAATGGGAAAATGAATAAAGGACGAGCTGTTTCGAAGACTTGATATGTGAAGATCTATCCATATCAAGCCTCTTCCCTCTGCTCACAACCACAACACAGAAAACAAACTTCTTTTTTTCAATAAAAATGCACGTTGCTTGTTTTTACAGTGTAGAACTAATTAATTTGTTTACTTTTCTGAGTTTGGTATCTGAATCAACCCAAGCTCTTATCGTGATTATCATGCGTAAACATCTTTTTAGGGGAACTCCAGTTCTACACATACAGGCCGAGCAGGGCTCCTCTCACAATATTCTCCAGGGGCCGGCTTCACAAAGATCTTTGAGACTGGTCTGTAGTGTGAGCCCATCTTTAATTTCTGCTCTTAGAGGGTCTAATGCAAATAAACACAAAAATAAACACATGCTTATATTGCGGCTAAAAGGCAAACTGAGAACTACATGTTAATAGTTGATGAACCTGCATATCAGTGTTGCCATATGATAAGGAAAGAGCAAAACATAACATGAAGGTTTGTTAACAGTGTTATGGAGCAAATAATAAGAAAGGACACTTGTTTTGTTAGGAAGACATTGATATTTTTTGCAACTTAAAGCTTTTGTTCGGAGCAGATCGGTTTGATGTGGTGGTTTATCAGCCAGGTTTTTTTTTTTTGTTTTAAAAAACATCTTAATTTTATGCAGAAGTCATGACAAATTGTTTGTACTCAACATAGTCAATAACAAGACGAGCAGCTTCCTGCAACAAATGAATGTAGATGTTGTATTGACTGTAGTGCGTCAGCCACCACACATCAGACAAACTACTTCTGTTGATAGTTTTTGAGAAACATCTCAAGACATATTTCTTTTATCTTGCTTTTTTAACACCATTGTCTTTATTGTTTTCTTCTTTTTATACCTTTTGCTAGTTTAATACTTTTATCCTAAGTCTTTGTTTTATTGCTCACGTGTTCTTATTGATCTATTTTATTTGATGTCTTTGATTTTATTGTAAAGGACTTTGAGCTGAATCTGATGTATGAATGTGCTGTATAAATATTTTAAATAAATATTATTATTATTATCATAGCATCTCTATAAAAAACCTTAATTAGTGCAGTGCATCACTTTATCAGGCATGAGACTGGAAGACATTTTCTTTATTTGCCCAAATTATAGGGAAATAACACCTTTAGGCAACTAATCATCTATTGCCTCATATCATAAACAACTATTGTATTAGGTTATCCCTTTTTAAGATGCTTTTGCCAATAACAACGATTTTTTGGGAATTATGGGATTGTTCTAAAGGAATTGTGGGAATTTGTCTGCATGGGCTCCATGCAGCAAGAGACGCAAGTTTTAATCGCCCAATAGACAAACAGGTGGCTCTGTCTGACACACACAAACACACAAAATTGTGTAGCACGAGTGCTGCTGTGGTTAATACATTGCACAGACCTTTTTTCATGCATGTAAAACATATGGTTTGCTCTGTACAGCCCTGCAGCCATATGTTGCACAATTCCACACCTCATGATTTATACCCAATTGTGGCATTAAGAGCTAATTCACACAATATTGTGTGCTCTATGGTGAGATGGCGAAAGAAAGGATGTGTAGGTCAGGGTCGGTGGGTCGTCCTTTGTCATCAAGACCTTGATTTGCATATCATTATAGTCCTGAAATCAACATTTGCCTCACCTACACCAGTTAATAGTTGCCTAATGCTAACCCACAACCACAGTCTCTCCCTCACCTCAACCACACCATTGTGAATTAATGCTCACGTACAAAAAAGGTTTCCTGCTCCGACCAGCAAGCCTAATTAAGTCTAATTCACAGGAAGTCACAGTCTGCACACTGTTATTTGAGGCAAACTACATAAAGTGCAGAAACTGTCATTCACAGACAAAATATCCTGAATATAAGAATGTCCATATCTTAGTGTGGAGAAGCTCTTTAAATCTCTGTGGCTCTTTAACCCTTACCTTGTAAACCATCAGTGCGACACAACATCCATTATCAGAATATGCGGGATATGTGGAAGTTGATGTTGAAAGTCAAGTCACTGTCAGCATCATTTTAATTAGTCTAAGCTGTTTTGAATGGATTGAATTCTGATGTCAATGATTGAGTTAAGGGTGAGGCTCAAGGCTTCAGAGCAGAGAGTGAGGGAGATCATGCTGAGCACCAGGGGCCTCATTTATAACCGTTGCATAAGCATCTTTTTATCATGTAATAACAAACTTGACGTACGCTAATGTACGCTGACTCTGACTCACGCGTTCAAACGTTTTGGAGATGGGAAAGTTGCGATGCAGAAATGAGGTGGTGAACTGAACCCAGTTTATTGCTCCACTTCATCATTAACATTAAAACCAACAGCGTAACTTGTGCGACATAACTGTTCCATAAGAACCTTCAATCGTAAAAGATATGAAACACCTTGAGCTTAGATACCATAAAATAACAGAACCGAGTGATTCATCATTTTTAATAATATCTTCTATAACACAGAGACTGTATCACCAAGTATGACTTTAGTTTTTCATACTGTGTGTGTGTGTGTGTGTGTTCAATTGCTGCAGTGAACATGACTGTGCTGTCACATGCACTGAACGCACTGGAGACCACTTAAAAAATAAACAGTGCTCGCCTCTAAACTTCTGTTTCCAACTAGTGTCCCACGGTGGAAGTTACAATACCACTGGTGTTTGAAGTAATCAGTCCGTTGGCTGTAAACATAATATACTGCAGTGACACTCGTGATGCTGCATGAAAGATGCACTTCTGTACATGGAGGAAATGAGTCTTCAGCGACCACAATGATTTTCTCATCCGCTGATATAGATCTGTGATTGTTGAACGCTGTGCTTTTTTTGATTTCATGCAATGTCCTCTGTGTCGTTCTCACTCTAACTCACTATATTAATTGCAGCAGCAACACGTCACCACTCAGTACATTTTTGTTTTAGTCGTGACATCGCTGCTATGGCCACCAAACAATACGGCGTTCTTCACCTCCACCTCAATCACAAGCTCCTGGATGTCTGCGTCAGAAAAATTGTTCTTCTTCTTCTCTATATTGCCTTGATTAACCATAGAATCCCATTGGTCACTGTGAGTCATTTTAAATTCATCAGGTTCTTCGTTTTGACTATTTATGGATGAATGGGGGCGGAATATGAGGCAGATCCATGTGCACAGGTTTCCAGGTGAAGTGTGATTCATAAAGGGAACATTGAGTTCAGATGTGTGTGCTTGTCTCATGCCATTTTTTTTTTTGTGCGCACACAAACTTCAAGTATGAATTTTATGCACTCTTTTATAAATGAGGCCCCAGGAGCTGCATCAGAAAGGGACACGTGAGGGTGGTAATGGCAGAGTGTGAGAGAGTTCATACAAAAGCCCTCTAACAGTGGCATTAAGTGAAAAATGGATGCTGTGCACAGTGACGTTTTATTCTTAAAGCTACAGTATATTATATATTATGGAACATAACTATACTATAAAGTGAAAACGTGTGTAACACATACAATCATATATAGAGTATTATCAAGTAAAAACCATACTAACACTCATTCCGGTGTTGTTGCAGTGTAACGCAGGAGGACACACTTATGCACACTTGTGGAATTCAGGTTTACATATTTCCTTTACAACATTCTTGTCATGTTTTATATCATGTTCTACTGTGATCACTTAGAGAAATATACATATTTATATTTAACGTCAGTTCCCAAAAAAGGCTCTGCATGCCTTCACTTGTGTCGGAGTGATTATCACATTTGCTGTGGCACACTGTTATAAAACACTTTGAAGTGACTCCTCAGCGCTCGGTGCTAATCACTAGACCTCTGTGATATGTCCTCCGAGAGACAAGGAGGTGTGTTGTGAAGCAGTTTCAAACACTTGCATGCTGAGTGTTTTGCAGGAATAAACCAGAAGAGAGAGCAAGATAACAGCAGAATTCTTGTGGTGTGATAACACCTCTAGTTCTTTTGAGGTGGTCCCCATTGTGGCAGATAATGCATTTCACCGTTCTTTTTTGGAAACCAAAACTTTCAAACAAACTCTTTTTCTGCGTCAATATTCATTTTAACACCTGGCACGTTTGTCTTTCTCTACCATTATCTTTCTGCTCTTTGCACCCACTTGAGCTTGTACATAGAAACCCATTTAAGGCTTATAAAAGAGAATCCATCTTCAAACAGCTTCCACACTTCACCAGGAGAAATTGTCAACTATATGTCTGGTCTCCAAACTACAATTGATCATGACAGCACATGTGAGAAGAGACACTGGGCCCACAAAACTAGTGGGCAAAGTGTGATCGAGCCCCTCAATCGCGATCAGCTGTCTGTACAAACCTTCATCCATTTTTCCTATTAGGTAATCTGTCCTGTTTGAAACTATATAGACTCTCTGTATTCTTTAGCCTGTATCCTATTTTTCACATTTTGGCAAATCTTGACAGGTAGTTCTGTCAGCAGTTGCTGTTTGCTCTGTGCAGAGAACAATCACCTGGATTACTCACAATACAGAAGAAAAATTGATGATCATGAACGGTGTCAGAATTTACAAGAGAATACTTTTTATATGCTTTACATTTACAGACTTGTATCCTGGGTGTACATTAGCAATCCCAACACCACTGGAAACAGTATTGTAGCTTATCAAAAAAAGAAGAAAGTGTAAAGATAAAAGCCAACATACTGCTCCTCCATGTCTGGTATTGTCCCATTTTTCTCTGCAGTGCATTTAATATACCCTGTGATGAAACAAACTACATTGACTTGATAAAAGTTGAAACATTTATTCTACAAGATTCACACCTGTCTTGTTTGGTCTGTGCCTTTTGACCTTGACTTTAGTTTGAACCAAGATAACAGGTGTAAAGGTGCCTCAGACCATCGTCCATACCAACAGACCAAAATGGAGTCCAGAGGAGGTGGTCTCGGTCTCAAATTGTTAACAGACCGACTTCAGATGCACATCACACCAATGAATGTCAATTACAGGTAAACACAGCTTGTGTAGGTGAGAACAAAAAAAGCAAGAAGCTATCACAGCAGAGGATACTGGATGAAGGAAAACCCTATCAGAGCTTCCTTTCTATCAGAAGCAAAGCCACGCTGTTTGCACTAGTTTCATCTTTCTCTCTGGGTCCCTCTGAAGTGGTTTATTTATAGAGCCATCTGCATGTAGACATACATGCTTCCATCTTCTGCAACACATCCCTCTATCCACTCACTGCTCCAACCACGCTGGATTCTAACCTATCAGAATATTTTGGGTTGAGTTGTGACAACCGTCTCTCCTCCTGCTTCCATGGGGGATGGCTTGCGTGTGTTAAAGAGTGTGTATGTGCGTGTGTGTGCATGTGGCAACGTGACAAAGACAGATGTCAGACCTAGACAGAGATAGCACGGAGAGGATGAGAGAGGGCCAGCCTCGGCCAAGTCGCTTGGAGTGGGAGGAGAAAGAGCGAGTCAGAGATAGCAGCAGAGTGGCATATGTATAATTGACAACCTATGCTTCCTCTCTGTAGAGTTTATGACATTTTCTCTCTGTAATCTACTTTTTCTGGCCAGCACAGAAGATGGCAGTGGGCTGGGCTGTGAGTCGGCAGCTTGGATAGAAATGGCAGGGCAGAGCAAAAGCTTGGCAAGGAGAATGTGAAGGGGAGAAAATGCCAAAGCAGCCTTGACATTTTTTTTTTTCCCCCATCAGTGATGCACTTTTATTAAGAAGCGGGTCTGTCACCGATAAAAGGAGTGAGGATGGGAGGCAATGGGGTGAGAAGTGAACGATGGTGAGAGAGAGCAGCGGAGGAAAAAGTACCCGAGGTGTATTTCCTTTTCACTAGAGATTATGTGCTGCAGAGTTTGTGGGTTTATGTGTGTTTCCCCTTTAAAAGCACTCGTGGTACTGATTTTATTCATGGTGATATCAGGTGTAAAACCACTTTATTTGGAGACATAAGTTAGATAGAAGGTCTGTTAACTGCAGGGATTTATTAGGGTGCTCTGGTCCAAGATGGCACTCCATTCACTATTAGTTTTTAATTCCTTCTTTGCATCTGTGTTTTTTGACTTCCTCTGCTTCCTACTGGCTCCCCTAACACCGATGAAAACACGAAAATGAAAATAATGCATTACTCTTGCTCTTCAAATGACTTAAAGGTTTATACAGAATTCAAACCTATTTTATACCATATTTCCAACATGCCGGTGTAAAGCCGAGGACTGAGTAGGACCAAGAAGAGAGAGAAACAGTGAGAAGAGCTTTCATACAGTTGCTCGAGTGCCCATAGTTTGGCCATTTACAGGTTTATAATTCTAATATGGGTTTCTACTAGAACAGGTTTCCATAGTGCAATGTTCAGTACACATATTATTTGTCTCATAATGTACTGCTCCTCTTTTCACTCTGTGTGAAACGCTCAGTGTATCAGAAATTTCACGCCCCTTTCCCTAAGGCTTTATAATCTGCTTTAAACACGGCTGTAGTCACGGTAACACTGAAGTTTATTCTGCCATACCAATTTGAGCCAAGCTAGTTGGTAGGCGGGTATATTACATGTTACTTGGAGACAGAACTGTTAATTGAAAAAAGGCTGAAATGCTGATGAGGTGTTCAGGAGCTGTTTTCTCTGTAGGTGAGTAGGTGGAACAGGAAGCATGCACAAAAAAATGACGTTACAGGAAAAGCATAATATGGAGACTTTAAAAAGTTGAATTGTCATCAATTCAACAGCAGCAACAAGCACCATTGTGTCAACAACAGGGAAGAAAATCTGGAAATAAGAAAACTATTTTCACATAAAGGTACAATGTGTAGAATTTAGTGACATCTAGAGGTGAAGGTGCATGTTGCAGCTGAACACCCCTCACCTCACCCTCCCCTTCCAAAATTGAAAGAGAACCTGTGGCAGTCTTCAGTTGTCGTAAATACTCAAAAGGTTTAGTTTGTCCAGTCTGGGCTATTGAAAAAAAACCAACATGGCGGCCTCCGTAGAGAGGACCCTCTCCCGATTTAAATATAAAGTATTTATATAAAGGGTTCATTCTAAAGTAAAGAGAACAACAATTCATACAATTTAGATGAAACACACTAGTGAAAACATCACAAGGATTATTTTATATTAAATTTCTTCCAATAGATCCCTTTCACCTAAATCTTACACACTGAACCTTTAAGTAAGACATCCTTGGAAAACCATGATGGATGCTTGCAACAGAAAGTTTGGTTGAATTTTGTCTGACTTCTCTTTTTTCTTTCCTGTCAGACTTCCTCTTGGTGTGTGTATTGTTATTATTCCAGCAGGGAACTAAGAAAATACTACAGATACAGTTTGGTCTGCTCTAGGCCACTGCCATCTTTCCTTTTGGTGGTTTCATCTGTGTGTTTACCAATGGATGCTCATTTACATGGGGTTCACCGGTAGACCCAGTAGATAGAACATATAACCCCATTTCATCAGTAAGAACCATTTAGAATCAACAACTAATTCTCCTAATTTAAAAATGGATCTATACACAGAGGGAAGACGACTAACTTGACCCAAAATGTACATATCTCCTCCTCGATAGAACTATATTTATTCTCACTAGACACACAACAGGGAATCTGAACACACACGAGCTGTCTGACTCTCTGAGGCTCTTAACTGAGCGCATGGGACACACCAGAGAGAGACAGAGAGAGACTGAGAGAGAGGACTAACTAGCACATCAGGAAGACTAACTAGCTTTTCTCTCCCTCTTTCCTCATCTCCCTTGTCGTCTTCCCCTCTCCCTCAGTTAGCTTCACTCTCCCTCACCTTCTTTTGTATGTTACCACATGCATCGCAATTTCTCTCACCTCCCTCTGTCTTCTTTCCTCCCTACTACTTAGCAGCCACCTCTCTGTTTGCATTTATTCTCCATCACCTGGGTCGTTTTTTCACACCAGAGCGCCGCCTGTTTTCCTCTGCTGTTCTGTTACTCCCCCATCTCCTCCTCCTCCTCCTCCTCCTCTGGCTTCCTTGAATCTAACTCATCACGCTCCTAACAATGCAGCTAAGCGTGCATTGTTTTTGCACCATGCTGTTCCACATCATGGCATACTGAGCGTGTTGAACTCCCCCGTCTCCCTGTCGAAGAGCGTTTATCTCCCGGTACGTTGCTTATCTGTGGTCTTTGGGAATTGTATGAAACAAATTGCGCAGGTAGAGATAGGTAGGGATTATTGCTTATTCCCATTTATATACAGGTATTTACGTCCTTCTCAGGTTAACCAATTAAGATGTGCTACCTGCCCAATTAGCACAAGTGGCATCGTGAGCAATTACCCAGCTTCCCTGTGAAGCCCAACCTGCAGTAATGAGAATCACAGATACATGTGAGTAATGAATTCCTTTCTCGTTCTTGTTGTGTCTCTATAGTTTTGCATCACTGTAGCTTGGCTGCATATTTATCAAGGTCTTGGAGGAATGGATATACGCTACATATGATTTTTAGCAGAACACTTCCCCTTAAGGGTGTGGATGTTCTGTGCAATACGCAAATATGTGCCACCCACTGACAACAAATCTACTGAGGCAGTATTTCTAAGCATGCACATTAACACACACACACACACACACAAACACATGTTAGAAATGAAATTCCTGATGAAAGCAAACATGTTAATCAAATAAGTTCAATTTTCCGACCAGAGTAAAAGGATTTGCACCCTGGCAGGCTGGAGAAGGTTATTTGATTTTTGAATATGAAGTGATTTTTCTCCCTCGTGTTCTCACAACATGTCATCCTCTGAGACTCCATGAGAGGCTCAGCTGGACTGAGGGGAGTTTGCACGACAGTAAATAGTTTCATTTCGTTAATAGAGAGAGAGAGTGGGAGGCCCATCTCCTCTGCCTTGTATTGTGGGGGAAAAAAACAGATGACACTTTTATTGAGCTTATAATGTGAAAGCAGCACAAATTACTTTATAGTGTGTTATATTCACCCACGAAAACATAATAATGGTGATGCAGCTGCCTCGCAAGCTGTCAGCCTGCTTTTCAAAAGCACTTCAGCATCTTGCTGCGTCACCTCTGCCAGAGTGAGGAAAGATTCATCAACACGTCTTCATGTCAACTTTTTAACTATTTCACGATGGAGCAATGATCATCTGAATATTTTCTGCTGATACTTCTTGTACTGATTTGATCCAAAGTTAGTTAACACTGCTTGTCACACGTTACTGTTTGCCTCCAACACTTATAAAGGTGTTTGCCTCTTCCAACTATTTGTTAAGTTAGCCATATAGAGCATTACATCTTTTAGTAGTATTATACCATTGACTATATTTGAAGATGAATGACACGACAGCTCCCCAAATGTGAAGCCAAAGCGTGTTGATCGCCCCCTTGTGGCTTGCTGAAGTATAGGTGATAAATGTTGAGCACAGGTAGCAGCAGGACCTCACTGTCGTGGCTCCAAATTATATCTTGATATCTTGGCTTCATTTTTGGATAGTTAAGGAAGTTACTATTTATCGTCCATCTCCAAATGTCTATGTCTAACGTGTTAAGATACCATACATCAGAGCTAACAACTTGTACAAAACTGTTTCTTTGACAGCATGTCTTTGGTAGTCTGCTCTGCGCCCATTCATTCTGACTGAAAATGTAAATCTGTAAAAACAGCTCATGATTTATGTCAGAGAATAAATTGAGTTACAGGTTTCATGAGGAGTCCTTGACTGAGTTTACTGCCTGAGAAGGTGAAGATGGATGCGTGAGTCAGAGGAACCAGCTCAGCCATTTCTTAAGCATCCTTTCTACATGTAGATGTAACCAAACATAGGTTTGAATAGCAATTATCAATAGATAATTATCAAATAAAACTTAAGAAGCTTTTCCCCACTTAATTCAAATTCAAACAATGTCTCAATCTTCACCAGTTCAATTTAGATTTCCATTAAACTGAAATCCATCAGTCTAGCAAGAGTCTATCATACATCCTGCTGTGACCTTTTACCTCAACGATGA